TTCGTTCAGAAATTTAGCCGCAAGTTCCTCGTCTGACTCTCCTTTCGTGCTTTGGATTAATCTTTTCTTTAATTCTTTTTCCAACTTTATTAAAGATTTCGTATTCATTTTAAAATCTGCAATATACAACTGTTGCTCCTCCTTTAAATCAGATACAACACGACGCACAAAGTCGGAGTCAGACATACTAGCGTAGTTGGTTTCGGTCATCTGAACAATTTCAATCAACTTCTTTATATACTCACCTTTTTTTACTTCAGCACTTTTGCCTTGGTTCGGCCCAACAGAGTCGGTTGGGTTCGTCTCAGTAGAGTTGGTTTGGCTCGTTTCAGTAGAGTCGACTTTGTTCATCTCAGTAGAATTGGTTTGGTTCATCTCAATCGAGTTGGCTTGGTTCATTTTAACAAAATCGGTTTGACTTGTCTTAACGCAATGACGGTAGCTTCCAAAATGACATGGCGTCGACTCCTCGTGGGGCACAAAATCGCTTGATAACCAATTAGAATAGCCGTCTCATAATTTGAAACGTCCAACGGTTATTAATAGTCCAGCACAAAAAATGGACGCTTAATAATCTCTTTTAACAAATTAATAAATAAAATTAGATTAAAATATTCGGAAATATTTTAATTAAAAGGGAAAAAAAAATTCTTTTAACCTTTCCTCAAGTTTGTCCTTTTCTCCCTATTTTACAACATTCTCTCACATTAAACACTTTAAAATTGATGCTAAATAAAACAAACGAATAATTCGTTTATAATATTAATGAAATTGCAGTCCATTACGTGATTCTACAGCAAATTTCTATGAATAATGACGGAAGCATGGTCCATAGTCATCTTCGTAATTTACTACGCAATTAACAATTTGAATAAACGATTAAATTTTTATTAAAAAATGTTGAAATAAATGCATTTTTCCATAAGATTTATAAAGAAATGTGTCATTTTCAAGTTGAAATTTCTATATATTTAATTAAATTTCAACATTAAAGTTAAAATAAGATGAAATAGATGAAAAAACGATTATATTCATATATATATATATATATGAATATATACATATGCCCTTACACGTGTTTTCCTTCTTTTTAAGTCTATAACAATGATATTTTACTCTACTCAAATCACAGTGACCCAGATAGAAGACTGATTACGGTAGAACACGTTCCGAAAGGAGAATGGAAAGGCTTAGTATTGAAGATAATTCCGACGATGAATTATTGCTGGCCGCTGAAGAGATTATCAAGGATAGTGGAAACGCTGTTGAAGCCGTCGGAGGAGGAGGAGGAGTAGAAGAAGGTGTTGTTGGAAGAGTTGTAAGATCGACGCTGGGTATTGGAGCGATAAAACGTGCAATATTGGGAATTGGACTTATTGGAGGAGCGGTTGGAGCGACAAAAGCAATAGAGGAAGGAATTCAGGCAGAATCTCTAGGACCGACAGTAACCGATGATGACCATTTCGCTAGGAGGATCAAAGAGAATTCAGAAATGCATTTCGGTTTAGAAGAGGAACTAATTCAAGAAGTGATGAGAGTGAAATTGGAAAGAGAAAAGGGTCAAATGCACAAAAGTATCCTAGAAGCGGCTGAAGATACAATCTTCCTTGTAAAAAAGTTAAGAGAACCGTAAATTCAAAGATAAACTTTTATTAATCTCTTCAATTTTAGTTAATGATACAACAACTGAGAATAAAATGGAAAAAAGTATGGAAAATAAAAACCGATTAAAAATACATTACTATAATAAATTATTTATAAAGGTTATTATTATGTCTGTTGTGTGATATTTCGAATTGAATAGAGATATTTTATAATCCATAATAAATTGTCAAACAGCCGACAATAAATAATCTATACAACTCATTTTAATGAATAATTAAAGAGACGTTACAGTTATTTTATCTTCATTTCTAATGAAACTTTTTGCTAAGAAGAGTAGTAAAGGGAATATTTAATATGAGAATCTTCTTTCAATTTATCATCATTTTTGGTTTCCTTACCGGAAAGATTGAATCTATGTTGAATATGTATTTAAATACTATTGAAGTTGCTTTGAAGGTTTACAGAGATTCCAGTAGTACGGCCAATAATTTCCATATACGAAATACAATGGACGGAAGCTCTTTGGAATGGAAATCCGATTTCAATACTCCAAATAAATATCTAGAAACGTTAAATTTCACTATGAGAGGAGAGTTTAGTATTGTTAAAATACGATTTCTGCAGACGAGATTAAATAGGGAAAAAATCTCTGTTACATTCTTAATGAAAGATAATAGTAATAATAAGAGTTTTGTATACGAAGTAAATAGAGGATGGAATGAATTTCATTTGGAAGATGCTATTACACCTCAAAAGATTATTTTACGATTAAACGAATCGGATTATGATGAATTTTCCGTTGGCGAATTTCAGGCTTTCACTCGAGTTCAAACCTATTCGTCCTGCCTTGAAATGTCGAAACATAATCCACTCGATTCGTCTACGCTAACCTTTATTCACGAAACAATCAATTTAACTATGCACAACGTGGCAAGTACAGAGTTGGGCGCCGTTTGTCAATCGTCGAGCGGAAAGTGTTTGTCGGCAATTCAGGATCGTATTAATATTTTTGACGAAATGTGGTTAGCCTCCGACAACAATAACGAGATAAAACCTTTCATAAAGATAACATTTTTCAAACGTTATCTTATTGAGGAGATAAGGATAAATCAACCGCTCTCCAATACAATTCCTACAATTGATATTCTAAATGAACAGAGTAGATTTGTAATGATCATCAATTCAATATCTCAATGGTCACATCAATCTTTATCTATCTATACAAAGTGGCTAAATTTTCAATTCGATAGGAGTAAGGGTACTTTCGAAGGAGTCTTTGAAATAGAGGCAATGTCACGTACACCTCGAGTAGCTGCTGCAGTATTCTGCGCAAAGGATGAAGATGATAATAAAGCCTTTAGAACTGTAAACGAGAATATACTTCAACAATTCACAAGAGCCATTAAGTCTGATAGCAATTCGTATTGTTCCGGCTATCTGGATTATTATAAAGGGTAACTATAAAAACAAACAAACATACTAAACAAACAAACAATGATTCAATGACCTAAATAAAATATTTATAGTTTTAATGAAAATGGACTTGAAGCAACTAAAATAAACGCCGATTATTGTTTCCAAGCAATAACAGTCTATTGTAAAGGAGTTGCTGTTACCGATCAATTCTACTTTGACCTCTACGGAATGAACGGTCATAGGATAAGGTTTTTCAATTCAACTAGTCAATGCTTTACTAATGAAAGTTTGTCATGCATGTGCACTAATAATATCAATAATGATACAATTATTCACGGTTACGTTAATCTATCAACAAAGAATCTACCTATTGTAAAAGCATGCTTGACAAAACGACAAAATGATCCGGTGACTATAACTTTATCACTTAAACGATTCATTTGCTATTCGTACGATAATTCAATTACGTCAGATAATCAGATTATCGTTGATAACGATCTGGAAACATGCTATCCAATAAGAGTTAACCGTTTCGATGAAATAGCTATACGTAAGAGTTATAATAGTAGTTTAAAAGTTCAATTATGGATTAGGGATGAAAATCGTTACCCATCCTGCGAAACTATAGATTTATGGAAACATTCCAAAGGTCATACCTGCAATAATAATGAGAATAATTATCAAAAATGTCATCTTTCCAATGAATATCTTTCTCATCAAACCTATGGCAAAACTTGCGAATTCCAGTGTCAGCAATCCGTTATAGATACATTATTAATTATCTATAAAATGACTAATTATGCTAATCTACTGCAAATATGTGAAATTACTATAACACAATTGGATTCATTTTTGATCTAATATTAATATTTTACATCGTATTCTAATGTCATACATATTCGACTTTTTAACTACATCCTACTCTTTATTATCAATAGCATTGATTTATATAGGTCTTTTATTCGTTCCGTTAAGTATTTCCTTACCTTTTATACTGTTGTTATTTCAGCGTCTATAAAAAATACTTATTCTTACGTTCTTTTTCAAAAATTTCCAAACATATTTAAACATAAACACCTAAAGACTTGTAAAATAACTATTTTTCGTTTTTTAAAGGTCTTATAAAGTAAAAATTAATAGTTTTATTTAAAACCGGAAATGATAAAAAAAAAAATTTTTTAAGTATATACATTGAACAGTTTATTTGATTAGCATCATTTTATTTTTACAATTATATTATGCTTAAAATGAGTTTATTTAATAAACTTTAAAAAAATAGCTTCGCATAGAATATTTAAATTAGATCAATAATCCAATCAACCATAATTTAATATATGATTGTCCAATCGGTGAATAGAATTAAAGCGACCAATCGCCAATTTTTCCTTTCAATAAATAGAAGACGACAACCAACCTCTTCCTCTTTCGCCTGATATGCTGAAACTGGTAAGTGTTGAAATCTCTTGTAAAAGTTATACGCTAATCTATTCTATTTTATTTTTTAATTTCTAGCATCAAACCGTAGCGTAACTATAAAACAGAGATCCAAGAATGGCTACTGATGAGCATCTACGATAACCCTGTATTCTAGGGAAGCGCATTGTTATCTGCAATCCTGGATCTTTCATCCCCTTTCTTTCTCTTCTTCTTTAACCAGTAGAATTGCAGATAAACAATAAAATGAAGTATGTATATTTAAGATGCAAATTGACAATAAAACTTTTATTTTTTACAATTCATTCCCTTTGCTTTCAGATTCTCCTACTGAATTCATCTCGATTGTGTTGAATACTTCTATGTCGCAGTTTTGACAATAAAAATCATTGGTTGATGCAATGACTTTTTTTTTGCCTCCTAACGGAGGTACCAACACTTTTCAAGCTAATTTCTCCTTTCTGCTAAACTGTCTGATTGGTGATGGCGACGCAACGACCATTATCAATCGCCATCGATCCGATCCGATAGAAGGCAAATGGAAAGGAAGAGAGGATTAAAATTTTGATAAAAATTCAGCACAAAGAGGAGAGTGCTTAGGCAGAAGTTCACATTTGTTTGATGTTGTTTTCGGCATATCTATTATGATATCTATCATTTCTGTAAAATAATGAATTTATGTATCAGTTGTGCAATTCATATTTTCAGTTTTGTATATGAAATCATTGAAAGAGCAAATTAACGAATACAATTTCTTTTTGTATGCATCTGAATTATCTAGTCTTCTCTTTAATTCCCTTACAACAATCGTTAACATAGACAAACATACTATTCATTCAACCTTTTTACACGCTTTGGGAGATTTATCTTCCATCCACCATATTCTAATACACAATAAACAGTAGTAATAGTATATGTATATATATAAAGTTGATGTGTTCGAATTCATTAACATGAGCAAAAGATACATTAGATTATCCTACTTTTCCTCCAAACAGGCATCAACCTTTTAACCTTGATTCTTAATTTTCTTTATCTCATCCCTAAGCATATACTATTCTGTTATACATTCTTTTCAACAAATTCAACGTAAGGATATTCCCAAGTCACAATTTTACCGTATCTCAGGCTATTTTTCGACATTGAAATAGATCAGATTCAAAGGTTCTTCTTCGCAATTATCAATATTACCAATTATGTTCACATCAGCGTCTTTTACAACATTAAATCATATATCTATAACAGTCTATCGTCTCGTTTAACCATAATATCCACTAATAATCACATGTTTTCTTTCAACATGTCACAAATTAAATATGGCCGCCGAAATTTTCAACCTTTGATTTTCGATTAGAAAATCAACATGTTAGGTTGAATGCGATATGTAATAATATACTCTAATTTACAATCAATCCGAAAATGTAATGATATTCGATGAAAATGGTATAACTCGCCAGAAATTCCATTCTGGAAAACACACGTGGAATACTCATTTTCAATGACGTCACATACTTTTAATTGTCACAAACACAGCAACAGACACACAGACAAACATGAAGACAAACACACACACACACATACACCAAACATTGAAGAACATTTCCCTTCCTTCAACAAACATTCACCAACTTTTATTAAAATGATAAAGACAGTCTTTAGAAATTGGTGATATCCAATGACATTTACTATGAATATCCTCCGGACACAGTCGCCTCTTCTCTCCTCGATGAACTAGTATTGAAATTAGAAACAATGTTTAAAGTAAACAAACAACAATAGGAGTCACTCTTTTCCTTATCTTCTAATGTCATCGGTTCTTTAATTTATACACAATTCCACTTTAAAAAATCATCAATACTTGCTTTAATCATCATTAAAAGATCTTTTTCTTTAAGAAAATTGTATATTTCCTAAGTAATTACAAGACTACAGAATGATTTGGCAGTTAAACTTCTAATATGTTAAACATTCCTTTTGAATGAAACAATAGAATCATTTGTTTTGAATAATAAAAACGTTCTGTTTTCATATGCGTTCTTGTAACAATCTTGAAATAAAAAGAGAGAGGAAGAGATATTAAACAAGTTTTAATAATAATGTTGCGTATTGTTTACAGACAGTTGTTAAGGCAACAATCATATTGTTAGCCTATATATTCTATAAAAAGAAATAGAATATGACGTAAAAAATAGACAAATTAATTGACGCATTTTGAAAGAATAATTTCTATGAAATAAAAACATTCTATTACTTTTAATAGAATTTACATAAAATGTCCACAAAAAGGAAATTGTTGAAAACGTTCCATTTCGAACGTTTTACTTCTTCTCTATTCAAGCTTATACGAATCTATTATACAATCAAACGATAAAAACCGATTGCGTATCATCGACGTCAAACTCTTTCTTTGGACTCTAATAGAAGAGCAACGTTTTTATTTCTACATTAGAAACGCTATAACGAAATTAAGTTGTACAAAGAATAGAGGTGAAATCGTTCTCATTGTTAATTTAGTATACTTGTTTATTAAACTTATGATAATTCAATTATAATTCATTCAGTTAAATAAAGAATTTTCTAAAAAATTCATGAAAACACTTGAATAATTGAGATTAAATTTAATCATTTTTTGTTTTTGAATTGATGAAATAGTTTCCTCTACTAAGAAACCTTTCGTTTATCTCTAAAAGATAATTCAAGATGCTATATTCATATATAACGAGATAATATCGATGCTGAAATCTGTACATCTGTCAAAGTTTACATATTATTTATAAGCTTTGAATAATTAGTGTAATTTGAGCAATTTGAATAATTATATAGTGACTAACAAATTCCTATTAAAAGTATCATGCAATTCTTCTTTCTCATCGAGCAAATCTATATCTAAGCTTTATCTTATAGGGTTAATTAATTAATTGAAATTCTATATATTAATATATAGATATATGTAGTCGTTGAATGAGTGAGTCATGATTGTATGACATTCTCCAACTTTACTGATATATGTAATATATACAAATAGGTCCGGTAAAATCTATGGCACAATTCTTGAACGGGCTATTGAATTCTCCTGCACGAGACTCAGAAAGGTTCGCCATTTTCAGAATCATACTTTTGTTATTCCTGGCTACGCATAGTTTACATCTCTTTAGGACGCTTTTGATCCCTATCGTTGGGTGTAGTTTATCCGCTAGGTTTGCCCAAATAGCTCTTAGAGAAGCATGGTTCATCTCATGATGTAGACAGTATATTAGTTTACTTAATACTGTATAGGGTGGCGAGCATCAACTATGATTTTTCCTTTTTCACGTGAATCTTCTAATCTTCCCAACGTAATATAGATTCCTATATTCCTTCCTACTTCTGCAGAATATAAGGTTCTACTAATTTATTTATCGGCATTGTATTTTATACAAGCTTGAATAGGTACCGTTGGGCTATCTCTAGTTCTCTTATATTTATTTCGTTGTCTTTCTTTCTCTCACACGGCAGACGTTAAGCATTGGATTTAAATCTCAGAATCCATGCAAAAGTTCGTCGCATCTTTGGCCATTCTCCCATTAATTCCTAGGTGAAGTCTGGGACTATCATATTGATTGTCATATTCGATATGTGTATTGTGATGTCTATTGCCTTGAATCCGTTCAATTTCTCTCTTATCTTATTTCTTGATTTATTCAGGTAGTCGGCTGAGTTACCCTCGGATCTTATTTTTATTGCAAGCAGCCTTTGATTTAATAGTCAATATTGTTTTCACGGCATGGCGAATGTGTTTGCTTAATTTCAAATCACAATTGTCTACGTAGCTAAAAACGATTTTATTATCCACGAAAATCTTTATCTCCACGTCCGGGAAAACGGATTTGAAAGGTTTAATGAAATTCGCAGCTCTTCTTGCTGCCGTCAATTCTGCTCGCGGCATTGATGTCCTCGGCGAGGAGAAAAGACGAGAAGAAGATGCGATCAGATAGCCTATATTTCTACACTAACCCTGGGTGCATATACTGCAGCTCCGTCCGCTATATCAGAAGCATCGGCGTAGATGTGAATCGCATCAGGTTGTGGAATTTGTCTCCCAATCTTGCAGATGCCAGTAATATATATATATATATATATATATATGTATTATACATTATTTTAATAAAAATTTTAATAATAATATTGTGTATTAAGTGTATAAAAGTGGTTACGGTTTTATCCTTAAAAAATACGCTGAACAAATCAATTATTAATGTTTTATTAGTATTTACAAGTTTCATCCTATTGAGCATTAAATATTATATTAATCCTTTTTAAAAGTACCTGAAAAGTTGACAAGAACAACCGACAGTTCAATGACAACAGTGAACTCGTTATAACACTAATTATCAAGCGTTAATTAACACCAGTGGAGAGCATTGTTTTGTTAAACGTCTAACGATACATTGATGGACGTCTGTCTAAAGATAATATAAAACTCTCATCATAGAATATAGCATTTAAGAGTAATCGCTTTTCTCTTTCGAGAAATCAGATAATAGGAATTTTCCCAACG